TACAAGTATATATCACACGACGCGAATCATGATTCATTCGTTTTCGTTGGACATCGTCTCACGACGGTAGTCCCCGTTGTCCCCGTATCGTTGATTTACACTGTCTCAGAGAAAATCCACGGTTATTAGTATCGCCGAATCAAAAAGTTCGTGTTTTCATTCGAAACGATACGATATCCGGCAACCAACTGAGCAGTGAAACTTTTCTGCGAATAATATATATCCTTGACTCTTCGTGTGATCACGAAGTCCGTTTGTATCTTAGAAAAGTCTTGAATTCGCTTGGTATAGTCATTATATCCTCGACTTGCCACTCGACGTGCGAAAATAATTTATATGTACAAATAGTTCGAATCCTTAACTTAAATTATTATTATTATTATTAATAATATTATTAGCATTATTATTATTGTTGTTGTTATTATTATTATTATTATTACGTCCCTAATCAAAGAACGTTAATAGATATCGCTTTTAGGATCCCTCTCCCGGAAGAATCCTTTTTCAGTCTTACACTCCCTGATGGTAACGGTTTTCAGATTCACCGTCACGTCCGTAATGAACACCTGATCAGCAACCGGATTCCTCGCGTGCCAGTAATCCGTGCCAGGACTGGACAAGGGGACATACATGTCTGTCTTTGTGATCTCTGTTTGCTTCAGACTCGATGTATTGTTGTTGTTGTTATTGTTGTTGTTAATATTGTTATTATTATGGTTGTTGTTGTTGTTATGACTATGGTGTCCATTTACGACGGGCGCTAACCTGTTGTTATTCGTGTAAGAATCTGTGGGACTTGGAGATTTATGACCATTCGCGTCGACCGTCACAGCTCCGTTCGACTTTTCTTGTTTTTGTTCCGACAAATGCCTCTTTTTGGTAGGCTGCTCTAGAGGCGTGTCTATCTGAGGCGAAAGGGGAGCCGGTGGTGCACGCGGCAGCGAGGGTGGAGGACCGTGAGGAACGTCTGCTTCAGGTCGCTTTTTATCCTGTACCGCTGGTGCCGGTGTTGTCGGTACCGCAGGCAACGGTTCCTCTGGCGTCGATTTTACACTGGACGACGACAGCCTCCTACCATTAATTTTGTGACTCTGAAATTAATAGAATCGCAACTTTTTGTATAAAATGTCAAATGAATTCGACTGGTACAAAAAATACATATTTCTATTTTAAAAAATTATCCAAACAAGGAAAAGGCTACAACATATAACATTCGCCTGGATCTGTATAACCCGTATAGTAATGGACTCGAATACTCATCAAATAAACACTCACGTGGAAAGAAGGGGACGTAGGATTGCTCTTCAGAGGTAATAATCGAGGAATCTTATTCGGCGGTGGACTTCCACTGCCACTACTAGGACTGCTTGTGGTTATAGTAACACCGATTTTCCCAGATTCTTTACTAAGAACTTCAGCCTTCCTCTTCGTGCCCGTTGGCTCTTTTCTCGGCAACAGAGGACCGTCCACACTGCTATTAGAACTATCTGAATCGACGCTGAACGCGGATGCAGATAATTCCGGAGCAATGGGCGATTCGTGTCCATCAAGAGAACTCGGAAGTGTATCTTCGTCAGGCGCAACAGGATTCAACCGAGGAGCTGATGTACTACCGGTAGTGGATTCATCCTGACTGTCTTCTCCAACCCTCTCGTCTCCACCTGGTTCTTCTTCAACGACCAGATTAGCAAGAACTTGATCCTATACAAACGGAAATGTATGGTTCAAGTTTTAGATTTTTCGCTAGTTTTTTAATTCGAATATAGCATCATATTATACGTAAATATTTCTCTCACATTGTATCTGGTATCCCTCCGCCTGGGTCTTCTCGTGGATACATCCCCACCTTTTTGACTTTCTTCGTATAATTCAATTAACCTGACGTCTAAAATGTTCTCTTCTGGTTCCCACGTGTTATATCTGAAAGGAGGAAGAAAGTTGTCTTCTCATTTCCCTTTGAACGAACCTATTAATAATTGAACTGCTTTTATTCTCGACTTACTTTTTACTCCAGCCTTTCCATTTCACGAAATATTCCACCTTACCCTGCAAACATGAAACGATTGATTTAAAGATATTTATCGACCAAACAATTAAACAATTAAAATATATCCGAAAATCGTCCATCAGTAACTGTAATAATGATTCATATTTACGAATGTTCTTGAACGTACGTTGAAAAATATTGATTTCAAATTAATGTACTTCTAATGCATAATAAATGTCAAAGTATCTGTTATGATCAGCGTTGAATGCAAGTAGATTTCAAAATACAAAAAACTGTGTTATTTCTGCGCGTAAAAGTATTACGACAAATCACTCGGTACTAATTCTTGTACAGTGCTTCCAGTGCACAGCCGAGAAATAACAGACCAAGTTTAACAGCTGTCTGTGGCGCTTCAAATCTAGAAAATTCTCAAGACATGATTCAATTGTGCGGTGCGAATTTTACTGCTCCGAACTAGTGCATGCGTGACATAGAGACAAACGCATCGGGACAGAGACGACAGATGAATGCACTGGTTCTAATTTCTATGTATACATAACCTATGAAATCGGTGGAATAAAATGAGGTATTGGAGCTGGACGTCGTTGAGTTTTAGAAAAAACTAGGGAGATGCTTCCCGTGCCTACTAAACAGAAACCATTAAAGAAGTGATACTTCTTTAGAATAGAACGTTTGAAAAAAAGAGATTATTAAATAAAGTAAAAACGGAGAATTGTTTTTATTTCAGCAGAAACATTATTCCTAAAGTGTAAAGAATGATTGAAAATAAATAAAAAAATAAATATGTATCAATAATTTTGTTGAAGTTCGTCGGAATAGTAGAAGTGTTGAAATTGAGCCGATCGCAAGGATCCGTTTCGCGCGTCTGCGTCAAACGGCGGATCTTCGAATCCATCTACTCGCGTACGGTCGATAAAACGGGCGGCGTTGACTTCCACGAGAACCACTGATACGGCTCACCTATTGGCCGTTGGCCAGCGAACGAAAGCGTGCCGACCGGTCGTGGTGCGCAGCCAGTGTGACAGTTGAAAAACAATGACATAACTGTGCAGGTATAGGACACGTCGGTTTATCACGCATGAGCCGGTCGCAGCTGAGAAGTATCTCGTGTGTTTTATACCGATTTACAACGTTGCCAGCCTCGATGTATGGTTACTCCGAAAATTACCGGCACAACGATACGGGCACCAATGTATTTTTTCCCGTAACGTAAACAGTAGAAAGTTTACCGTTCAATGTATGATACTGTACAATACAGTTCCATAAATGAGTTATTTGGTAATCGTTGGCAAGATATTAGTGTCTCGAAGATACGAACACCTAAAGGCAGAGCTCGGGGAAATCGTGTCGTTCCATGTGCGAGAGGAGGGTATATTAGGAAAAGAATGTCTGTTAGCGTTCGACGGGAGATATCGGGAAGCATCGTGTACACGATAGAAATCGCAACGGGAGGGGCAGAATTGTTGCAGCGATAGGTGGGAAAGAGAAAAAGATCACGAGGAGGGGGAAGAGGAAGCGGCAACCGCGCATAGACAAACAGAATCCGTGTTGTGGCGCTACCTGGCGGCGACGGGTCGGATTAGTTTTACTTACCCGCTTTTCCCTCTTCTTCGTAATCCGTTCCGCAGCATAAACTCTGTCACCTAGATCCATGATCCTTTTAATCCTTGCCCGTCAGACGTACGTAAGAGCTGTTATTATGTCCGAGAGAAGGATGATGTGTGTCACTAGCAAACCACACCGAGCAATGTAACAACATATGTACCGACACCGGGATAGAGCACGATGATACTTTGAAAATCGTGATGACACACGTAAACACACTTGTAAACGAATCGAGACGTATCGTTGTTTCACTGTTGGCTGTGTAGCGCCGATTTCACTGAACGGCTTTCGAATAACACTATCGGTGTTACACAACGTGAAATACGATGACCACGTGTTTTCGAAGGGCGATCAATTCGATCGCATCTTCGACGTGTGGAACATTTTCGATGACGATCATGTGAAACGAAACGCGGCACGTGTTGTCGCTCCGTATACGAGAATACTCGGCATCGCTCGATGTTTTCCGCACTGATCGGTCTCGACCGACGGTGATTAGAGTGGCTGCTATTTCAGCGGAGAGGCGGCAATGCGACCGATGTTTTTTGAAAGGCCAGTAGTCGCGGCAAGACCGGCGAACACGAGCGAAGTCGGCGTATACGCACGTCCCATCGGGAAGGGAATTTCAGGCGGCACAGTTTGCGCGCCGCGAGTTCTTTCCCCGTGTGTTCACCGCACAGCAATCCCGTGTACGATTATCGTCGGGTATACGGTCTCACTAGACTGCGTTTCGTCTTTTTCGGAGTCGTGAACGGAGTTCGGTGTCTGTGTTGGCCGGCAACACGTTTTCTGCTTCTGCTGGTGCTGGTGCTGGTGCTGCTGCTGCTGCTGCTCTCTTCGTGCGAGATCGGGGCTCGTGACGTCAGCGATTCCCCCTCACCTCGTAAACACCAAACATGGCCGTCGTACGGATATACGCTGGTCGAGTGCGTCCCAAGCTGACGGTGAAAACTAACGTCGATAGAGCCACCAGAAACTTGTGGAACCGCGAAAGAGTCGTAAAAAGACGTTTCCAAGCCTTGTAATTACCGGACAGGCTCTGTATATGAGAATGTTCCAAAACTGGAGCGATCGACTCACAGCGTCTAGCACATTCTGCGGATCGAGGCCGACTAGAGCCGAGGTCTGCCGAACTCCCCTTGCAAGCTTAGTGGACTCGCCCGACCCGCTCGAGGTTAGGAGAGGAGGGGGTAACAGTAGAGAAAGAGCACTAAAGGGGGAGGCAGAAGCTCTCAACGGTACGTGCGCCGCGCACGGGAAAGAAAGAGAAGAAGAGTGTGCCTGTGTATGTGTGAGAGAGAGGGAAAGCAAAAGAAGGAGAGTGTGATTGAGTGACCGAGGACGAGAAGGGCAGGGAGAAAAGGGAGAGAAGAGCAAGCGCAATGGAGGTAGAAAAGAGAGACGGCGCGACCAGGAGCGCCGTCCTCGGAACAAGAAAGCTGCCTGCCTGCTGCCTGCCTGCCTTGCCTGCCTGGCTGCCGCCTGCCTGCTAGCCAGCCACCCCAAGTTCCCTTCTAGGTACGTGTATGCGTGTATTTGTGCGCGAGAGCAGTCGATGCGATGTTGCCAGGTTTATTCCGTCGATAGCATCGCACCAAATGTCACTGGCGTACTACCGATAAATTCCAGAATTCACGGTGCCGCTGCGCCGTTCACGATATTCCGTTGCAATCGAAAACGTATTGATCGTCCTGTATCACTACGAGCACTCACACGCACGATCTTGTTCACGGAGTTTGGTAATAGGAGCGTACCGCTTTTGCTGTGCATTCGCGCCCACGATCCGGCAACACTGTATCCTCTTGCGACGTACTGTCACACACTGCACAACACACTGCCGCACGGCATCGGCTGCCGCATACGATGGTTTTACAATAAACGGACGCTTGATAGAGATTATTCAAGGTGATCACTAGCACGGTATTGCGATGATACACGATTATCTGATAGGAGCGGCGCAGAATGGAGCGCGTCGCAGTAAACGGGCGGCGCTCCTCTCGTGAAAACGTGTGCAACCTCAACGGATCCCGAAACGAGAGTGTCCTCTCCCGTGCTGACGAACACACAGGGAGAGCGGTCGGGCGATGGAAAAGGAGAGGGATAGGAAAGGAGCGAGAGAGAGAGACAGATGGGGAGCTTGATCTTCTCCGTCCTTCGGCGTAAATAGCAGGATAAAAAAGCCACGACGGTGGTGCTTGATTGGTGGGATTCCCGAGGCGCTACCGACGCTCCGAGCCACGCTCGCCGCGTCGACCAATCGACGAGTGGCACAGCCCACGTCGGTTCCCCTCGACTCGTCGAGAAGGCGGGATTACGGGCACGGTCGTCGGTCGACGGTTCGGTTCGAGGTCCCGTCGCCGTGCCGCGCGCGTCCCTGCATTCCCCTTCGACGCGAGCCTTTCCGTTTTGCCGCAACTTTCCCCCTCTGTGTGTTAAAACAGACACAGATACACTCCCCCCTCCCCCACGAACGCTCTTCCCCTCGTGTAGCAAACCCGAATAGCGGATCGCTACCGTGCCACTGGTCTCCGTCACTTCTCTCGCCCTCTCTGTTTCTCTTTAACGCCCACGGGTGTGTAAAGTCATATATATCGTGTATGCAAGCGTAGCTGGGCACACGTTCGAGGGAAACGAGGGGAAGTACATATATACAATATATATATGCGCATATACATATATATATATATATATATATACACATATACATGTATATACATAGGAGCGCACATCGTCACAACCATTTCCCCTCTTCGTACCCGCGTCGGCGGTGGCCGACCACCGTCGGTATTGAAATATCCTGGCCCTGGAGAGCCAAGTAGTCGTGCGGCGATGCCGCTTCTCTTTATAACCACTACGCTCCGCACCGAGACCGATCTTTCTCTCCCTTTGCTTTTCCCCACCCTTTCTTGCTGTATGCACCCTTCCCCCTTCTCCGTCTCTTTGTCTACGTTTTTCGCCCTTCTCCTTCCATCCGTGTCCCTCCTCCTCCCTTTACCCTGTGCATCCGTAACGCTCCGTAATCCGTCTCTCCCGATGTGCCCTTGCTCGGACTGTTTGGAACGGGATGGGAGTTGCGTACCCTCTTCCCAGAGAGTTTCTTTTCCCCTTCCCTCATATTTTTTTCTTGGATCCTCGACCATAGAGAAAGAGAGAGAGGAGACGAGGGACTCTCGCCCTCCCTTTAAAGCGCAATCAATTGTCGAGCGAAGTGCTGCGCAACCCTACACAACCGACGATGCACAAAAGCAAAAATCGCGAGTGTGCGTAGCGACGTTCGGCTTCTCGGTCCGTGCGCGGCATTGCGCAACCATGGAATATACAAAGGCAACATAGATGGCGTGCCGCGGGTACGCAGCTTATGGCACGTCCCCTCCTTTTCCTTCTTTTCCCCGCATAAGCAATGTTCTCCTTTGTTCTTCGTCGTCATCATTGCTGCTGTAGTTTGCGCTTTTACAGTAACCTCCTTGATCTCCTTTCTATATGAGACTCTCGACAGTTTCTTAGTCTCGAATAACGTCGAATTCAATATAGAATGATTAAAATGATGAATTCACGAATACGACATACTGATTAATGTAGCGATATTTATTTTGGGATTCTCTCTTTCCGTATTTCGTCGCATCGCTCAATGAGTTAAAAGCTGATACCGATAAATACCGGTACGATGACTAGCTTAGGGAAGGGTATCTATTACGCAATGTAAATACTAGCGGTATTCATATTATATCTCGTTACCTTAATTAAAACGCTGGTCACGTCACCGGCAATGGTTCCGCGAAGTCAACGAAGTTACCACTCTTCAAGCATCTTCAATACAATATATCGCTACATATGAGTATTATAGATCATTTATATGCTAGCACATGTTAAAAAACGGGTTCTATGGCTTGACGAACGATGAAAATTGAATGGCACTTCGCGCTGCATGAGTCCGAGGAAACCGTTTTTAATGGCCTGAACGCGAAGATGTGGTTCCGTAAGATAAATAAAAGACGCGTAAAAGCGGTATGGTAGCCAAGAGATGGCGTCGAGCTAATTAAAGCTGCGCAAGAATGTGATAAGAGGAGGGTGAGCGCGCATGAAGCGGCAACGCAACCGATCGAAAGATACGGGAGAACGATGAGGCCACTGATTCGTGTTTCTCATTATGCGGGCCGTCCATCGTGGTCACGGCAGCATCGAAAGCAGGGCGTGGCGCGTTCCACGTGGATCTATATCGAATGGTACGTCGTTTGTCCTCCGAAAAATCCGCTATCGAGAATCGGAACCGCTCCCGTAGCGCATGGCATTCTCTCGTGAATCGCTAGAATGCCGTGCATCTGTACCGCGCCAGCTTCGCGAGCCATTCGATTCCCCTCCCGAACCTAACTCCCGTGTTTGAGGTTAAAAAGGCGCCGCATAGGTTAAGAAACGGTAACGCGCGCCGATCCACGAACGATGATCGAATTCGATCGCTAGACATTAACCATAAACGCGCAACGTTTGACTATTAACACGTCCTCTATAAGCGTCACGCATATATCGATCTCACATCTTACGTAGACTGATAAATTAATTGCACGTGTATCGCCATTTAAAGTCATGATGTATGATATGATCTTAGGAAGTCGGGTTCTCCATTAAATTTTCGTAAACTTTCCTGGGGAGGATGCAGTGCAATTAGTAGAATATTGTAACCAATTACAGCCTGAATGAATATTACTTCATGCGTCGCTAATCAGTGTTTATTGATCGAAAACGCTTCGGAATCGATCCGGGCGTAACGCCATTCCCATCGTTAGCGCGGGCCATATATTCGTAACGGTCCGATTTGAACGTTCAAACGTTCGCGATAAATTCCTCCGTCGTTTCGTAACTTGTACAGCGAGCAGGGCTGCAAACCTTTCGGTCTTGTAAATGCAGAATAATCGACGTGTTCGTGTAACGGCACGTGCGATATGTATCGCTATTGGATCTTCTTTCGTCCAACGGTTACGTATCGAAACGGGATCGCAATGGTCGTTCCAATGGTCATTACCACGGCAGTTTATACGGTTTACGTATTGTGCGCCAGTTCAAATGTCATGGCTAACAGATTGTTTAATAGATTTGCGTGTTAATGAATTATTCGGTGGAAAAGGTGCACGACGTGGTTCGATCGTTTAAAAGTGTCTGGCAGGTGGAGAACGTTCGACCGGTCTCTATGTGGCGCGCAGCGTCTCGAGAGAGACCGAGAGCCGAGTTCGAACAGCGCCCAGCTTGGAAAAAGTGACCATTTTATATCTCGGTAACTAATCACGATATCGACGTGAAACTTTTCATGGATTGTTCTTTGCCATGTTTCATGCTTATTTATGGAAATCTTGACTTAAATCGATGCGTGGTTCTCGAAATAATTGACATTTTTAGTCGGACTGGCGAAGACACCTTCAATGCGTTCGCCAGTAATATACGGTGTCATATTTCAATGTCGCGCGTTACAATACATAAAGATTGAACTGTTTTCAGTATTCTTCCTAAAAAATGAGAAGATTAACTCTAGAAACAATTATATCATAATATACTCTGAATTTTTTTATTTTGACCTTTTTTCAAACATCATTCGCCATTATTCCCTGTTTTTACTTTCTGCAATGTCATTAAAGTATTTTCGTTAAAATTTTAATTAATAACAATATTTGAAATTTTAATTGTCGATGATTTTTTTGCCGATTTCATTCTGTCTCCGACTTCTAAACATTTTCAACGGAAAACGTAATAATTATGTATAAAAGTCGTGGTCGATCGATAACAGTTAAAAGATTAATCGTGCTCCGTTTACTCTGATAGGGTTACACCTAGGTTCAATTATGGGAGAAACGATAATCCACAAGATCTATTTCTCGTTGTGTTTTAAATCTGTTATTTATATACCTACATACGTATATTTTAGCTATTTCTTCTGCTTTTCATTTAAGTTGACGTGGATTATCGAAGCGGTGATTGGTTAAAGTTACCTCAATATTCAAATAGTTAAATCCGTTCCGCGGATCACCAGTGACCCACACTGCACTTTATGAGGAAAGCCCAAATTAACTACGAACCGCGATTCTTGATTCGGCCGTATGAATAAAATTACCAGTCTCGAGTTTAATTTGACTGTTCGTCATCTTTCAGTTTCTAAAAATACCCTAGATACCTTCCTCATTGGAGTGTGGGACATTTTAAGCTTCATGTTCACGGAGCGGTCTATCTTCCTGATTCGTTTCTCAGAACAGAAGAGAATAAAAATCGTCGCTAAAAAATTTTCTTGGATCGCTCAATCGTTCGACAAAGAAAAATTGTCGGTTACAAAGAAAGTGAACTAATACATGTACATTATAAATGTGCTGTTCCCTTTCTGTAGTGGCACGTTTGGATCTTCGCAAGTGATTTAAGCGAGAAACTTATCGGCAGCTTGCTTATGTTTCGTTTACATCGCTATAATCCGCGATAGGTCAGCGAAGTGCGATCATATTAAAGGAATATCATATTCTTACATTTCAATGAAAGTTCGATTCCGTTCCAGATCAAATTAACCTGAACGAGTGCGCGACTAATAAATCGCTATTCATAGATCGGATTCCATTACTTCTCTCCGAGATTCGCATTACCTGGCTGATGTCGAAAACGTTAAATGCTCCGGTATAAGGCGAGCCATTTTTAAGCTTAAAATCGATGGATTATGTAAATCATGCGTGCGTACGGCGCCCGCTAGAAAGTTTTATCAGAAATGATAATTCAGGCTTTTCCGCGGGAGTAACGGAGCTTTCGATCGCGTGTTCGTAAAGCGATCGCTAAATCGCGGACGGTGCATAAGAGTATTAATTTTTATGATTTGTTTTATATAGACTAGAACGAATGGGAACTTAGTTTACTTTATTAACGAGAATGAAAAAAATCGTAGGCTAAATGCCGAAGTAGGATATCGATCGGTAGTCATTTTCGCAATTAAACTTTCGAATGATGCGTTTTTAAATTCATTATTCCGAACCGAAAGGATTGTAAGTACTTTTACCATTTTACCGTTAATCGGAAAGTCGAGTTTCAATTAAAAATTCGAGAGCCGCTGATTGATTATGAAACCTGAAAATCGGCGAGTCGCTGCATGAATCGTGGCCTTTTACCGCCGACAAGAATGATTTAGTACCGATCCGTAAACCGGGCCTCGATTATCCAACGAATCCCGATTTAACCGGACTGCCTCGGTCCTGATTAAGTCGTTTAATCGGGCTCCCAGCGCACTTCCATCGAAACAATACACACGCGCGCGTATTTTGCAGTCAAAGAGAACCTCATTAAATCTCTTCCTGCCGGGGCGTACAAAGCGTGGCTCAACTTTTTCTCTTTTTCGTCCCTCTTACCCGGCACGCCGCGTATTAAAACGTTTCAATACCAAGCATCTGGTGAAGGCGCACAGCCCGTTGCAATAATTTCGGCGGGATCGTAACGTGAAAATGCGCAAACGAAGATGTTCTCATTTCAGCTTCAATGCGCCGATTAAGCATGCGACTCGTTTCATGTTTGTGTTACACGAGATACAGGGATAATGGACTGTAAAGATAGATCGCGGGGCACGGATATGAGCCGCCATTTATACGTATCCAGTAGCTACTATTTAAGCTTGCGAAAAGCGTTCTTCTTACGATGCAGATTTAATTATTAGACTTAGAATCTTGCATGTTTACACGACTTACTAAAAGTGAGCATTAACGTTTAACAAAACTTTTATTGCAATTATTAGAATTTGGTAGTATCGATACAGGTCTCTGTAAATTAATGTTTACACATATCATTCTGAGCTTTTATAATAACGTTTTTCATTCCTTATTCAGCGTCATTCCAATCGTGCTTAAAAGAAGGAACGCATGTGGAATTCAAAGTGTATTGCATTCTTATTAAAAAAAGGTAGTAACTATAATTAATAAATATTGAAATTAGCAGAGACTGAAATGAGCAGTATGAAACAGGATTTTAGAAAATCCTCGTTAGTGTAAATCGCAAAACATCGTTTTGAATTTTGCAGTCACATGGAAATCACCCTTAAAGGATTGCACTGCAAGTTCGTATCATTAAAAGGATTTGTAAGGGCGCTTTCCCTTTTTGTCGTGCTTCCCGCACTCCCGTGCGACGTAACTGCATAAAATTCTAATAACCTATCTTAAAAACGTTTATGAGTTTCTTTGAAAACCATATTCGGTTATACAACTACTATGAAATATTCTTGTTACAACAAATCGAATAATCTTCTTTAGGACTCTCTAAACAGGATATATTACTCTGAAATACTAAACTTAAGTATCGAATTTTTGAAAGTGCTTCCGTCAAGTTTTCCGCGATTTCGTGCCCCATCAAAATAAAACTTTTCAATGATGTAATGAAAATCCGTTTTGGAACCTCTCAACACTTCGACTGTCACATCGTTCACCCCGGAATTTGGGTCGAATAGGATATTTCTCATTTTTCAGTTTTTCTCTTATAAAACAAAGATTTTTAAGTTAAAAAAAATCTTTTTTTGTTATTATAGCTGAACGTGTATTAACAACAAATTTATGAAAAAAATGTTCATTTTAAGTTTTAACTATTAATTTTTCACTTTTAAATTTGAACTAATCCGATTCGCCTCGGTCAACTCTACTATTCTCTTCTTACCTTCATTTAGAATTTTAAAATCAAACCTACATGAAGTCTAAAATAATAATTACCACGACGAACCTTGATCTTTCCGTTCGTGTTTTGTTACTCGAATTTCGTCGATTTTAGGGGATCTTCCTGTTTCATCAATAAACATAAACGAAGGGTTGCGGCTGGTCAGCCAATAATTTTGCACAAGCGTAACGCGATTTCCCTTTGCTTTCAGGTGATGATAGTGACAACAGTCAAAGTGATCGCGCGGTGGTTTTCCTTTGGCGGCGATTCATCAAGTTACGCGGCCAGACACCCGGTAGACGAGCACCTACCCACGTAAGTTCGATTATTAATTCAGCGGCGCGGCGCAGAGGCTTGGTGCAATGCACCGAGCTCTTTATACGGAGTGGCGGGCCGGTGCTCGTGTGCGAACACGCGCCGCGACGGATGTGTGTTAGTACGCGTATGTGCACGACTCGCCGCGATGTTACAACCGTACGACTGAGCGTATACGTCGCCGCGTTATCGGGCCCGTGTTATCGCGTGAACTCCTCTCACGGCTCTAAAATGCGGCTCGGCTGCCCCCGCGCCACGCGGATCCCGCGTACACATGAAAATCCTCACGACGTTCGACAGCTAGCTGATTAGCCGAAGACTATCGACTTCTTCGCCTGTTCGGCTTTTCACTCTACCGAGCTTCGTGGTTCCATTGACGTTAATTGGAGCACAGAAGCTTTCGTCCGTGTCTCCGGATGCTCGAGACGAATGCTAGGTGGGCTGGTTACGTTGCACCGTCGCCTTTTAATCAGCCCGTATGGCTGGGACTGAAAACTCGCTTGACTTTTCTAGCCGCGAGGAATTTTATCCTTGGGCACTTTCTTTGCCGATATGGATTCGTTGAACCAGTCCAGTTCGGAGCAGACCGTCTACTGAATTTCAGGCAGTTGGGTATAGCAAACGATACGTAAAATTTTCAGTTTCAATCGTTAGGAGTTTCTATTATTTAGAGAAAGAAGTTTGATAAAAAGGAGATGAAAGTATTGAATGCAGGGAAGAATATAAGTATTTGAATACAAAATTCATTTGGTTTCTATAATTCATCACTAAATGATTATTATGCAGCTGGTTTTTACTCTTTCTGTGTGGTATTAACAGTGTTTTTATGGTAGCTTTATACCAAGCAAAGCTTTTAATCGGAAGCATACTTGATGTTTAGTTTTTTTTTTAATGCTACA